AGTTGAACATTCCTAGCTGCACTCTTCACAGATATTTAATTAATGGCTTTGTTACTACAGCTTCTTATTGTCTTAGTGGCATTTGCAGGTAAGTCTCAAAAATTATGATGTTCAGTAGAACTTATGGTCTCTTTACAAAAGGTTATATTTTCCTTTGGATGTTTGCCAAAGACTTAGAACAGCAGCAATTCACTGAAAGCAACAGCTGGTTAACTGTTTTAATAACCACACGTTTACTGTGTGAGTTCCTGAAACTCGATCAGAAATATGTGCGGTATTATCTGGAAAAGCTCAACCTCTAATGAAAATAAGGTGAACTCCGCAGCTTTGCTGTATTTCATTGCATTTATTCCACAATTGTTTTATTTGTTTGACTGACATATGTTTTATGTACTTTTCTATTTGTCTCCTGCAGTTTTCACTGAAGGAGCTGGTGTGTTGCCTGATGGTTCACTGAATGCAGCTGTAGGAGAAAAGGTGATGTTCACTACAACACTGACTCCAACAGAAACACAGTTTCTAGTTGTGGACTGGAAGTTAAATCTCTCTAAGGTTATAATCATCTCAACTAACTTAGCAAACAATACTGGACCAGAGTATGAAGGTAGGATCACCCTCTTCCCATCTACTGGGTCTCTGGAGCTCAGGAGTCTCACTCTGAATGACATTGGAGAATACAGTGTTAGCATTACACAAGCTGATGGCACAAGCCATGTTGGACGTACAACTTTGGAGATACACGGTGAGCAGATATTGAAATCCAACAGTGTAATTGTTTCTGCAATATTTAAACAAGTTTACATTATATTAAACGTGCAAAAATACCTGGAATTATTAGTACATTTTTGTTATGTGTTGTTCTGCATTCTTGCAATAATTTGTGATATTATTCAGATTGTGATATTACAAACTTTACAAAGTGGCTGTAAGAAACTGAATGGCTTATTTAAATGTAGTATTGACCAGCATATTGTAAAGATTAGTCTGAGGACTCCATTTGTCTAATTTACTCTGTGCAGAATAGTCACTTAAAGGCAGCAGATATTTAAATTATGAGAATGAAAGTATTTCAAGGTTTTGATTGGTACAGTACTTCTTTAATTGTTTTAATGATAAATATATTTTTGCTTATTTCTTCTTTTGAGGTTATTTATATAATATACAATCCTTGTCATGACATGGTTTAGCTAGAATTGGATTTCAATCATTTTAATGCTTACTTTCTATTGTTGATGCCAACAATGAAACTATTTTGTTTTTCTTTCACAGAGAAAGTCTCCAATGTGTTGGTAACTTCCAGCAGCACAGACTTGGTTGAGTTCAGTGCTTCTGTCTCTCTGTCCTGCTCTGCCTCTGGATCCTCTCTCTCTTTCCTCTGGTTGAACGGCAGCTCTGAGGTTACAGCAAATGACAGAGTTCAGCTCACTGATGGAGGCTCTAATCTGACTATAATCAATGTGACCCGCTTTGACCAGGGACCATTCAGGTGTAATGTGTCCAATCCTGTCAGTTTTGGTACCAGTGATCCAGTAAACCTCTCCATCAGCTGTGAGTTACTAAAGAAAATGCTCAGTAATTTATCTGAAAACATCTGCACACAAACATCATAGATGTTAGTGTGATATCATTTAAGATTTCAGAATATTAGATGTGTCTGATAAGCAAATAAAAAGATGGATGGATAAGGTGTTTGTTTTTTTCTGGTAACCTAATGTGGAGCAATATAGTTGTGTTAAATAATTTCCTTTAACAAAGGAAAAATGAATGTAATATACTTATACATTTTTTATACAATAAAAATTTTCTCTGTTCCTTCTACATTTAGATGGCCCAGAAAATATAAATTTGATCTTATCTCCATCACAAGGATACTTTGCTGTGGGGTCAGACATCAGCCTCACCTGCTCAGTTGGATCCAGACCTCCTGCCCAGTTTAACTGGTTTCTGAATGGAGATCAGCTGCCTGATACTGGATCAGAGCTCAGACTGATGAATGTTCATATGAGTCAGAGTGGAAACTACAGATGTCAGGCCTTTAACAGCAAAACTCTGAGATCTCAAACATCTCAGCCTTCAGCCATCACTGTACTGGGTAAGTCTGATTTACTGTTAAAAATGTATGATTTACGCATTCTCTGCAACTACTTTGCTCAGATAATACTTTCATATATTTAAAAAAAACATTTGTGGGGGAAAAATGAAAGGAGAAAACTTCTGATATTTTTTCTCATGCAGAAGAGATAAATAGCTCGTAGGAAAAGAAACTTGGGTAGAACGAAGAATTTACAACACAAACAAAATACATTGAGCTATACGCGAGTAGCCTAACATTACAACATTTTGTGTAAGCCACCAAAAACGTTAAAAAGCCTTTAGTTCATTTCTGACGTCTCAGAGCATTGCCAGTCATCATTGCTACAACATAGTTAAGCTAAAGAACCATATCATCAGGATGTAACGATAAAGAGTAATAATATTTAGCAATACTCAGCTTTACATGTTTTGACACAGGATCACACAGTCTTGTTCTGTCTTGTCAGCATCACCAGCAAGCAGATAAACCTGTCTTTCATCTGTTAGTTTCTAACCTGTATGTGCATTTTCTTTCTTAAAAATCTGTCTCTTGGCAAACAGAGAAAATATCAGGTGCTTCAATCTTGCTTAAATCTTCAACAAACCTGCCAGCTGTGGGGACTTCTGTCAGCTTAACCTGTGAAGCTATTGGCTCAGCCTTTACAAGGAACTGGATGAAGGATGGCTCCAAACTGACCCTGACTGACAACATGACCCTTTCTGACAATAACAGAGTTTTGACTTTTAACATTTTGAAGAAGAAAGACGAAGGAGAATATTTTTGTAATATCAGCAACCCTGTCAGCAGTGATGGAGTTAAATATGTTCTGATTTTTAACTGTAAGTAACATGCTGTTCAGTTTACACTGTTCACACGTATGGTCATACAATATTGAACTACAATATTGGCACCACGGACAACATATTTAATCAAGCAATGTTTTTTTTTTTTTAAATGCAATGAACACATTTATTGTTTGTATTACTTTACTATGTAGATGGACCAGAAAATGTTCAAATTGGAGCTCCAAAAAAGATCCATATCAATATCAAAGACACCTTAAATTTGACTTCTATCCAGCTGTTCATGTTCATTCATTTTCAATAGTGCTCATTCCTTTAGGGGAATGAGTTGTTCCCAAGCCAGCCAAGTGATATAATCTCTCCAGTGAGTCCTGGGTCTTGCCCCAGGCCTCCTCCAGTAGGACAAGCCCAAAACCTTTTTCCTACGTGGCATCAATGAGGCATCCTATTCAAATGCTCATTTCTTTTAATGCTTATTTCTGCTGCTTGTATCATTGAGGATGTCCTAAAATGTACACCGTACAAGAGTTTGTGATCATAGATAAGGATAGAAAGGCTGAATGAATGGTAAATCATCACCTTCCCTTTCACACTCAGCTCTCTCTTTACCCCTGCAGACCATACAGTGTCCACATCTCTGTGGATGCTGCGTGGATTCAGTCTGAGATTCAAGATTCAGATTTGGAGATGCTGATTCTCATTCATACTAAGCTACGAATAGCTCCAGTGCAAGATGGAGGTCAATAGCTGATGAATACAGCAGAGCCACATCCTCCACAAAAAACAAACATGAAATCCTGAAGCCACCAAAGTGGAACACCCCCCACAGGATCTCCTAGTGGATGCAGGATAGTCCAAGGACCTTGTAGTCACTGCTCAATGCAGCCAGCTCAGCAATGGTGGTGTGGAGCATGGTCCGCTTTGACTCAATGTTTCCAGCCTAAATTGTAACACAATCAAAGCTCTACTAGAGGGGAGAATTCAAGATCTTGTGGACTAGGAACTCTGCCAGATGTTCATAGCACGCCCTCACTATACTAGATGAGAGGAAGCAGTACCTGGTTAGTTAGAAATATTGTAGTATAATAATATATAATAAGCTCAAATTATTCATGTCTATTTTTAAAAAATATTATTTTCCATTACCTACTCCTCCATAATGTTTCTGTAATCAATGTAAACATCTATCATGCCACCCATATCTGATTTGTACTGCACTACAAACTTCTTAAAGTAGATTTAAAAGAACAAGGAAAACAAAATGTAATTTATTAAAAATTATAATACTATTGCCTTTAAAGTAACTACTGCCAGAGAGTGAGCTGCAATGCACTCTCCGAGTGCTTCTTCTTATTTATTCCTCATAGATGTTGTCAGAATCCATTACCCAGGACCAATTTGCCTTGGGGGACCCTACCAAGGGCAAATTCCCCCCAACAACATAGCACCTGAAATCTCTGGAACATACAAGCTGCAGTAAGGTGGAAATTTACAGAGGGGTTAAATTTGACCTGCTCTTCTAAATCCACACAATCTGATTGACTTCATTCTTTAATGGGACAGATTATTAACAATAAGGTTGACTACATAAAAATAGAGGTTTTTGTGCTCCAGTCTCTCTTTTCTGAGAGAAGGAAGCACACCTTTAAAGCGTGGAATAATGTAACTGTGAGAGCATCATCATGAGTAGTGTATGGTTTTACTGTGACAGGTACCTGTGTGCACTGATACTGTTGGATGTTGCAGTGTGCGTATAGTATGGTACCACTGATAGTTTAAATGATGTACGTTTCCTGGAGTTTTAATGTTTTCTATGAACTAAATTTTGGAAATGTATCCTAACACTTAACTACCCTTTATCAAAACATGAATCTTCAGCAAATATTTGCTGAAACTACACAGTGAATTCATCATTTTGACAAATACAAGTGCTCTCCAGACAAAGACAGCAATGCACTGACCAAAAGTCCTCTGAAACCTGTTCAATTATGAAAATAAACAAAGAGAGAAATTATTGGAAAGTTTTGAGATGGTGAGACAACTTTGTGTCATCTTTATTTTATCTCTATTTGAACTTCCCCAGATCAATCATCAGAATGTGCTGCAGGTTGTATCGCTGGAATTGTAATCGCATGTATTGCCATCGTTGCTGTTGCTTGTGGTGTAGGATACTACTTTTATAGGCGAAGGTAGGTGGATAATTTCTTAATGGTTTTATTACTCTTGAAATCTGTGTGTTCAGTCCACTTCTAAACACCTTTGGTACATAAGCATAACTTATCAGTGTTACATGTAATTCATTTAACATCATATCATTTCATGAAATAACCACAGAGGTGCAAGTATTTCAGTGCACTGTTTGTTTAAACAAACAAGTCTTTATCATTTAAATAAATGTAAATGTTTAGTGTTACAGTTTTGTGTAACTTTGTGGACAGACTTTGATATATGCTTCATTTATTATATTTAGAACCAACAAAAATCCACAGACACAAAATACAGGTGAGTAATATTTTAATATACATTTAACTTGTACATCTTTAATAGCAAAATAAAGAAAGTATAAATAAAATTACTGTATCAAAATCTGTTATTTTTGACCAGGAGAACATGTGTATGAGAACACTTAACCATATGACAAGAAAATTTGAGCTCTTTGTTTACATTTCCATTTTAAGGTAAGTATTAAATTCACTGTTGTGCTTTATTAAGAAAGAATACCTTATACAATGAAGAAAAGAGTGAAAGATTTTTTTCTCTGTATAAAAATCTGTCATTTTTCCATTATTGTTAAAAGTTAATGTCCACTTGCATGCAGTTTATAAACTGTTTACTAGAATAAGTTGTATATTTTTTCTTGTCCTGCAGATGAAACATTTGTGAAGCCTCTATCTGCTCCAGGAAGACAAAAGGTTTTGTTTTTTTGTTAGTTTGTTGGTTGTAATATTTTTTTGGTCATTATGAAAATATTTTAACAGAACATATGAAGATTGTTTATAAATTATTAGTCTACAACAATAAATATTAAGGTTTTCTGACATTTGAATTATGTAGTTGCTACTATTTTGATAAAGCTCTGTGTCTTCTTATTGATCATTAAATGTAAAATAAATACAACTAATACACAGAAGTTGTAGCCCTTGCTCTTACTTCAGTTTATCACTCATAAATGTGGTCCTGTATGTTTTAATGCTGAACTCGATCTACATGTTGTAAAAATCTGGATGATTACACAAAGACCTTGTGCTGTCTGAAGACACTGAGAAAAGCAGTACTGTCAAATTTTATCCTGAATATTTAACTACCCCTGAGGTTTCTGGACTGGTGCAGCAGATTACTTAATGTTCCAAGGACATTGTTAAAAATTGGATCCAAGTCATCTTCTTCTTCTCTACTCTTCTTCTAGCTGCTGTCTTTCAAGTCAAGTATCTGCCTCCATCTCACCCTATCTCTAGAGTCTCACTTTATCCCTTTTGTCAATATTTCGGTACATGTACAGGACATACAGGAGAATCAAAATGCTGTTGGTGGGAATGGTTGCATTAATGTGCCAAAGACTTTCAGCATCATTAAAAGAATTTAACTTCTGTGTGAGAGTGTGTTGGGGGGTAGGGGGGTAGGTGGGAAGCAGTAAAGAGTTCAGTCTTCTGACAGCCTCTTGAATGGAGCTATTCAAGAGTTTAGTGGAGTGGAGGAGAGATTAGGCCTTCTTGGACACAGCAACACAGTAGATGTTCAGTTGGGTATGCTGGGAATGACTGTTCCTGAAATCTGCCATAATCCCTTTGGTTTTTTCCACATTCAGGAAAAGGTGTTACTCTTGGAACCTAGAAGTTAAAGTTTTCATTCCCAAGTGTCTGAGTTTTTCTATTAGTTGCTGCAGAATGATTGTGTTGAATGCTGAACTGAAATCTACAACTCTTATGAACTTTGGGTCAAATGATATATATATAAACTTTTTTTTTCCAAATCAGGTAAACCCCTTAATTGTATTAAAACTCTTAACATAGTGTTGTTGGCAGCAGCACTACTACACCAAACAAAAGAAGGTTTCTCACAAACTCTCACAAACTAAGCAAGTGACCTGAAGGCCTAGAGATTATTGTTTTACATTGTTTTATTTACTGTTATATTGTTTTTATATTCCAATTTCCTGTGTTGTAAAGCACTTTGTGATTTTTATCTGTGAAAAGCGCTATATGAATACATTTTACTTACTTTTACTTACTTATATAAAGGTCTGGATGACCTCTAATTTCCTGCTTTTAAATTTACCTGAAATTAAGGTTGTTTGACTCTAAAAACCCTAAAAAAAAACCTCTTAAAAAACATGGTGCCTAGCCAGATACTTTGGATGGCATTGGCCTCCAATAACACTGTGTGGAATTACCAGATACGTCCTTCATATTAAACAAATGTGTAGAACAGCTTTCTTGCATTTGCACTATATCTCTAAAGTTAGAAACATCCTGTCTCAGAATGATTCTATGAAGATTATGGAGAAAGGACAGCAGCTTTGATCATGTCCAGTCTAATAAATAAGGTGAGCTGAGAGGAGAGTTTTCTTTCTTGTTTTTGTACATCTCTAATAATGCATAACACATTCTGTACAAAAGAGTTTGAAAACTGATTAAAAAAACTATAATAAATGCAATGAACTTTTATACATTTAGGTCTTACTGATAACCAATATAAAGACGAGGCTGGAGGCACCACAGAGTTTGGATACTTTGTAAACAAAGCTTAAACTAAGTTCTAAATTTAATATATGACATTATTGAGTCATTTTACCTGAGTAGATATTCAACATGATGTCAGAGAAATGAAACATTTTTTTAGTGGTCTTTTACTGCAACTTTTAAGCTTTTATAAATTATAGTTCTACTTTGTGTTTTTAAGCTAAATATAATATAATACAAACCTTTGAAAAAGCCTCAACATAACATAATTTAGATGGACTTCAATGAAATATTTTAATGTTTATCTTAGCCTCGTTGTTAGCTGATATTAACGATGAAACCATTTTACCACTTCTTTTACAAAGTCACTCTGCCCCTTTGACTTTCCTCTGATTGAACAGTTACAGTCATTTAGGAACTTAGACTCCATTAAAAGTTGGATGGCTGACAACTTCCTCCAGTTTTAATGATCAAAAAACGGAAGTCCTTGTTTGTTCCCCTGACAGATTTATGCCTCAGGTAATGAAAGCTCTGGGTTTTATTGTAAATCATCCCTCAGTAACATCAGTCTCTTTTATCACATAAGAAATATTGCTAAGTTAAGTCCCATTGTGACACACTTTGAACTGAAGATTGTTATTCATGTATTTAATTCACTGTTCATTGGTCTAAGCAAAAACTCCCTGGGACATCAACAGGTTGTTGGATTTCCAACACTGCTGAGAGGCTTCTGACTAAATTTTCTAAGTACTCTCATGTCATACGTTTGCCGATCCAGCTCCATTCGATACCTCAAAATTTGGGACAGGGGCATCAAAATGTTGAAGATCTGAGCGGTACTAAAAGAAAATGCTTGAGGAACGTCAGTAACATAACTGAGTATAAAAACATCATCTTAGAGAGGCAGACTTATTTAAAGTAACGATGGGCAGACGTTAATCAATTTGAAAAAACTGTGACTCAAAATTGATGAACATCATCCAGGAAAACTGCCTTCTTCTCTGGGCCAAAGTACTTTAAAACTGGCATCATAAATGCTGAAAGGTGTATGCATGTTTTACAGAAACATGTTCTCCATCATGTTACTCCATAATAACATAGCTTCATATATCACCAACTGAAAAAATTTTGAGTGTCATGAAGTATAAAATACAGCAAAGAAGAGCCAGGTCTCTTGAGCAGCTAGAATCATATATCAGAAAACATGAGAACACATTCCTCTCCAAAAAGTTCAGAATCTGGTCTCTTCTCTTCCCAGATGTTTACAGACTGTTGTTGAAGACAGGATGCTACACAGCGAAAACTTTTTAAAGATGTGTTGCTGCCATCAAATTCAAAATGACCTTATTTTTTAATCATACTTTAAATGGTGCAAATGAAGATTTGTACATCATTATATTTTGTTTTTTATTCATATTTTAAACCATAGCCAACTTTTATGGAATAGGAGATATTTTCCTATTCTATTATTCTATTCCTACTACTACTATTAAATGTTGTTTGGGGGGGAAACCAAACACTCATATAAATATAGAGGACAACATTTACTGAAACAGGTTATTTATTTATTTGTTTGTTTGATTTTTGATTGCTTGTTAACTGTGCAAAAAGAAAATGAGGGGGTGAACATTTAGTAGAAAATTGTGTTGAAGATTAACAAGTTCAGGAAGTTAAACCTTTCAAAATAACACATTTACTTCCTTATGACACCATATATTGAAATTAGCTTTCATGCACTGGTATCAGTAAAGGAAAAGTCAGAGTGAAAGACACCACTTTAGAAATGGAAACATTTCTGATATACTTCTTCATTCTCGGTGCCGTCTCAGGTGAGCTCTCACTGGTTGATGTGGCAGAAAAAAACTCTGCCTGTTCACACAGACTTTAAAGTTTTACTTCCTCATTTTCCTTTCAATATGTCCTTAAACTCATTTGTTTGGCTAATATTTATATCACTGTTTTCATGAGATATCTGCTGAATACTTCTAGTTCATGTATAATCATTTGAAACCTGAATATTCTACACAGGAATACTCAGATAAGATCAGATAACATGGATCAGTGTCTTACGTAGTAGGTTTATGTACTGATGGTATACATTAAATGAGATAAAGAGAGACGTGTTTTCATTCGTTTCTCTAGTAATCCTTAATGCTCCTATTTCTTTCAGTCTTTGAACACTGATTCTTGAATGTTGAAATCACAAGTTGTTTGTTTTGGGTTTATTTTGTTTTTTAAGTTTTCCTTTCTGTTTATGTTTCTTTTCTTCTTTTGTAATCCTTTATCTACATCTCCTTGTTGTCGCAATGAATTTTAAATACACAAATTTTCTTGTGTCACTTTAATAGATTTTACTTCTCTGCTTTATTCTTCATCAGTGAGGAGACAGAAGTTAAGGCAAAAATCATTTAAATGATACATCTGTGCTTCTGATTTAAAGCTCAATTAAATGTGATCATTGGAACAGCTTCACCATAAACTGTTTTCTTTTAATTCAACTAGTTTTGTTTTATCACATCTCTTTATGTTTAGAGCTACATTTACACACAGACAAATAATGGAGGACAGGAATTTTTTAAAACCTGTTTGCCCAGCACGGGAATGTTGACTTCTATAAGATAAAGCCATAAATATGTGTGTCTGAGTCTTCTATCAAAAGTTATAGCTATCTTTATGAAGTTGTACAAAAATGCTTTAATTTTTTGATCATCCTAAAAGACTAAAACAGACGGAAACAGAAGTTTTAAGTCTTCCTCACACCATGGTTTATATATTACAGATGTGTATCTGTTACATTCGCTGACCTCTAGTGGCTATCCCTATGTGAGAGAGCCTTTTCTCCCTCTCCTGTGATCCAGGTCTGCCTCATGAGCCACAGCTGAGGTGTGTTGCAGCTCAAGCTCTTTTGTTGCAATCGTTTTCTCCTGTTTTTTGGCTGGACAGGGAGCTCAGCCATTGTATTGTTGTTCTTGGGTAGAGAGTTATTGGTTTGTTTTTTA